GGGTGGGCAACTGGGGAGGGGGGCTTGCGGGCTTTCAAATCCCTGGATTTATTTCACAGTGAATTATAACTGAACTCTTTAGTGCCCGGGGCTCACAGAGGGAAGGGTGGGAATTCACCCAGGGTCAGGGGGTGTGGAGAAAAGGCCTGAGTAGAAGCTGGCCCAGGGGAACAAGGTCTGGACCAGGCATAGAAGCCCGGTGGTCCTGGGTGTGAGTGTGGTCCCCTGGGTCTGCCCTGCGTATCCCCTGCAGGTGGGCATGAGGGAGTCAGGGTAGGAGAGGGGGTTGGCATGGCAGGGAAGGAGCCGAGATCTGCTCCTGGCTCTGCTGGGTGACCGTGGCCTAGTCCCCTGCAGCTGCTCATTTCATCGTCTGTAGAATGAGGGGCTTGTGCTTGGTGATCTCCAACCTCCTTGGGGTCTGATGTAAGGCCTCTGAGTGTGTCCTGGGTGTGTGTAGCACATCAGCTGGGGCATTCGGTGAGAATCTCTGCGGGACTCGGGGTCAGGGACGGGGAAAGGCAGGCTGATGGAGGAAATGGATGGAGGAGCGTGAGCTAAGGGAAGCGGGCCTGTGGGGTGGATGCGTGGGAGAGGGAGTCAGAGGCAGGGAGACCGAGAGACTAGGGAGATGGAGGGGTGGACATGGATGGGAAAGTGGGCGGTGAGGCAGAGCAGATGACAGCCCTGTCAGGAGAGGGAAGAGAGAAACCGAAAACAGAGGCAGGAAAAGGAGACAGAGCTGGAGATGGCGCAGAGGAAGGAGGGGGAGGGGAGGATGCTGGGGTGCACGGGGCAGCAGAGGGGCTGGCCAGGTCCAGAGCCAGGTGCCTAGACCCAGAGTGCTGAGTAAGGCCTTGCAACTGTGCCCTTGGCTCATTTGAGAAACTGGACACCCAGTATCGGGTTCTGCCTGGCTATCCAGGGTGTGATCTGCAGCAGGCGGGCAGACAGCGAGGCCTCCCAGCACCCCAGGCAGCAAGGCTAGGCCAGAGACACAGCTGAACCTCACCGTGCACCCCGATACCTTCTCCCACTTTCTCCAGGGTAAGGAACCAGTGCCCAGAATCAGTACATGTGGCCTGGGATGCGTGTTTCCCTGGAGGACAAGAGCGGGCCCCCATATCAGTTCTGGGGGCCCCTGACTGATCACATAAAGGGAAGTGGGAACGGCCAGCCCACAGATGAACTGGGCATTGACATTGGCTGCCAGGAGGCAGGGCTCCAATGGTCTGGTTGGGCAAGAAGAGCCGGGCACTGGATTTGGGTTCGAGCTCTCTCTCCTGAGATCTCAGGGTCCGCAAGTCAAGAATGCAGAGGGTGCTGCCCACCCTGCACGGTAATACCATTCTGGAGTTTCAATGCGGTCTTGTGTTCAAGTGCTGGGCACACACGCATAGTAGGTGTTTCACAAACTGTAGGTGTTATTAGTTTCTCACATCACATATTAATTGCTTTCCACCAAATGAGTAAAGCCCGGGTAAAGACAGCACAAGTCCAGGCTGTGGGCTGTGGAAGGCCCTCCAAGAACTTCTGCTAGAGAAGCCCAATAGCTTCATTCTCCTGAGTGCAGGCTTTCCAGACACACAGGCGTTTGACCAGACCCTGTGCTTGCCATTTATGTGTATGAGTCTTGGTTTCCTCCTCTGTAACTAGAAACATCAGTCCTCTTATTCCTAGGTTGTCATCAGGATTCAGTGGGACAGTAAATAATAGGTCCTTAGCATAGGGCCCGACACAGGGAATGTATTAAATATGTATGGACTGAAGAAATGATTGCGAATGAGTCCCTGCCCCATGTGCAGGTGTGATACAATTTGATAATTTAACACAAGTAAAGGGATTAATGCAGGACCAGGGTAAAGTAAGTGTTTCAGAAGGTCATTTCCCTCCCGTTAGCCCCAGGAAGGCAGCCCGTGTCACTCACCGCCACCCGGGTGGGGTTCAGCCAGTGGGGGATGTCGCGTATGGTCACGTTCACTGGCAGGATGATGGGCTCGCTGTTGTGGTCCAGGCACGACGTGGCGCACTCTGACCCTGAGGGGAAGCAGAGTGTGAGGTGGCTGCTCAGCTCGTCTCCAGATGCCCCTGGGTGCTCTCACCCAGTGTGGGCCCTGCCACTCTCTGGTCCTCAGTGGATGGAGCTGTCCCACCCTTGAGGGCAGTGAGGTGGAGTGAACTCCCCAGCAGGGCTCCCTCTGGTCTCCCTGACTGTTCTCTCATCTCCAATCCACGGGCACCCGCTGCCACTCTCATCAGCCCCGAGCCCAGACTGATTTTATTTTTCCTGCGCCTGAAAACCTTTCCAGGTTCCCCACATCCAAGACCCAGGATGAAGTCCAACCCCCTTTCCCTAGCCTTCACAGCTTCCGTGATTGGGGCCATCTCACCTCCCACTTTTCACCTTCACACTTTGTTTGTTCAACTGGCCCGCGCCTGGTTTTCCCTCCGAGCCTCACACTCCTCGCCTCTCTCCTGCTCTCTCTCTCCTCCTGGACCATCTGCCTCCTCGCAGTCAAGTCCTACTGGCTTCAAGGCCCAGTTCAAATCCTCTAGGGACCCTGCCCTGATGTGTGCAGCAGAGTGAGCAGGGTTCAGCCGTGAGGAGTCTTGCTCCGGTGTTGGTCCCAATCCCTTCTGCCTCCTTTCCACAGTTACACTGATGCCTCGGGAGGGCAGGGACAAGGCAGGTTCATCTCTGAGCCTAATCAGCCGCCTGACACACAGGGGTTGCTCAGTAAGCACCAGCCCAGTGAATGGTGACTGCAGGCCCGCAACACCAGGTCCCTAGCCTCAGGCTTTCTCTCTGCACAGGCCTTGCATTCATGCCTCCCCTGTGCCTCCAAGACCCTTCCCACTCCTCTTCAACTGGCGCATGACCAAGGACCCTTCAGACCTCCAGCCTGCTCAGGGAGGACCTCCATGCTTTCCTGAGGGGCCAAATCCCCTTCACAGGCACCTGTGACAGCACTGGTCACATTACCGCTTGGTGACTGATACGCTCTATCAGTGACTCTCTTCCCTGCTGGACGGTAAACTCTATGAGGTCAGCACGCTCTGTGCTCCCCCCTCTGTGCCCAGAGCCTGGCACTGTGCGTGGTGGGCGGCAGGCGCTCAATAAGGATTTGTGGAATGAATGGAAGACGCTGAGGGAATGAGTGCACTGATGGAGGGGAGAGGAGGGAATGAGTGATGGAAGGACATGGGGACTGAGTGAGGGATAGGCATCTTACGAAGGAAATGAATATGTAAATAGATGAGCAGATGAATAAATGGCTGAATACATGGGAAGCAGTACAAAGAACTGGAAAAAAATCAGGTAATGAGACGAGGGCAAGGGTGACCAACGGGGACAGGAGCCCTCGGTCCAGGGGCGCCTCCTTGAAGATAGTTCACTTTCAAGCTGTGGGTTGGCAGGTTGACTAGAATTTGCCTCATTCACTCTCTGCCCTGACCTCACACACTTTGAAGTGTCCCCAAAACCAATCCTACCCTATGAGGTCTCCCCAGGACTCCGAAAAGGGGCTTATTCATGTGGGCAAAGAACTGAGGTGTTAGAATCTGACCAGAGCCCTAGGAGGTCATTTCCCTGCCTTAGAGCCAAGACCACCCTTGAACACTAAGTGGTTCACAAGAGACAGTCAACTCTTTAAAAAAAAAAAAAATTATTCTTGCCCTGGCTCAGTTGGCTGGAGCATCATTCCCTACACCAAAAGGCTGCGGGTTCGATTTTCGGTCAGGGCATACACTCAGGTTGCTGGTTTGACCCCCAGCCAGCAGGCAGGGGAAGCAGCTGATTGATATTTCTCATGTCAATATTTCTCTCTTTCTCTCCCTCTCCCTACCTCTCTCTATAAAATCAATAATAAAATAATGTAGTCTATTAGCCATTTTGAAGGCTCCCTTCCAAATGTGCGGGTATATGTGCGTATAAATGTGTGTACGTACAGCGTGGGGCCGAAGTAGATTTGCAGCTAGAAAATAATACAGTAATTGATAAATAATAATACAAGAATAAACTCTGTGTTTCACATACTCACAACTGCACACCGACATGTGCCCCACCCCGCACACACCCACACGCACGTACATCCCCGCGTCCACATCTCCTCAGGCGCAGCTGATCCGCCCAGGGTCCTTCCTGCTGCCGGCGTGTCACCCCCTTCGTTGGAACAGACAGTGGGACTGAGGAGGAGGCGAGGGGGGTTGGCAGGCGCAGGACAGCTCAGGACCTCACTTTAAACACGAGGACACTGCGCCCCGAAGCGGAGGGCCCCGCCTCGCCCGGTGGTTTTCACAGGCTGCTCCTTCTGCAAAGCTAGCCCTGCGATAAGGTGTCATCGTGCCCCTCGCACAGGTGAGAGCGATGGGCACGGAGCTGGCGGGTACAGGGCCTGGTGAGAGCCCTGGTCCCTCTGACTCGGCATGGCATGACGGAGCACACAGAGGAGGAGGGGACGCAGCAGCGGAGGGGACAGTGGCGGGTGAGGGCCAGAGGGGAAGAGAGCAATGGGGAGAGCGACAAAAGACAAGATGAGCGATGAGAATAAAGGGGGACTCGCTGAGCAGGGGGGAAGCTCGGAGCTGTGTGCGTCATGAGGTCCCTTCCGAAGGAGTTTTTAGGGAGCCGGGAGGAAGCGAGGCTGCCATGATAAAGCGAGTCTGAGAAAAGGAGGGGCAGCCTCTGAGAAACAGACCAAAGCTGGCTTATCCCAAGCGGGGAAAAAAGGAAAAATTCTGGTCCACCCAGGAGGCCATCGCTGGTCCGCCCAGGGGGCCATCGCTGGTCCGCCCAGGAGGCCATCGCTGGTCCGCCCAGGAGGCCATCGCTGGTCCACACGGAGGCCATCGCTGGTCCGCCCAGGGGGCCATCGCTGGTCCACACGGAGGCCATCGCTGGCCTGCCCAGGGTGCCATCACTGGCCCGCCCAGGGGGCCATCGCTGGTCCGCCCTCGCTGGTCCACACAGAGGCCACTGCTACCCAGTGCAGCAGCCCTGTCCTAATTTCCCTTCTCTGCACTCCCCACCCCCCACTCCCGGGCAGCTCTGGGCCTCAGGACCAGGCTGCTGTGTTGTGATATGTGAGCCCTAATTGGCATCATTACAGAGCAGTGATCTCACCAGGCCCCTGCCTGCCTCTCCTTCCTGGGAGGAGCGGGCGGGTGGCAGCCCCGGTGGCAGTAGCAACTTTCCGAGGGCTCTCACTGCCACAGAAGCCTCCCTGTCCTGCGGGGGGTGGGGCCCAGAGCTGCTGCTCTGGGTGGCTCCAGATGTGCCCTCCAGCCCCCAGGTCTGACATGTACCAACACATACCTCACCCCCGTTTACAAGGCCTTCGATTGAGTCCCGCTCCCCGGGGAGGGGCTCAGCCTGGGCGGGACACCTGAGGGGCCTTCAGAGGTGAGGCCGGAGGGGAGCTGGTGTCCAGCAGGAACCCTGCTGTCCCTCCTCCCCCAGTGTCCCAGGTTGCTTTTTCTCTCAGCCCCCCTCCATGTGTCCCCACTCACCCTGGTGACCCGTTCAGAAAAGGGCATCTGCACGGCAGTGGGAGCATGGGTTCAGGGGAGCGGAAGGAGACCCAGGCCCGATGTCATGCAGACTTCCTTCCCTTTCGCTTTGCCCACAGAAAGCTCAGTGGGTAAAACAATGCGGCCGCCACACCTCCGCCTGCCTCTAGACTGTTCGGAGGGCGCACAGAGCCAGGTGTTGTGGCTCACTTGCATGTGGTTGTGACATGGGAATGCAATGTGTGTTCAAAGTGGGCACGATATGTCCTTGTGTGCATGGGTGTGAGCTATGCTTGCCTTTTGTGCATCTTTCTGCATGTTTGATATGTTTGGGGCATAAGGTATGTTTGCACCTGTGATGTGTGTGTACTTATGTGTCACATGAGAGCATGTGCTACGTGTGGCTGTGTATGTGCTTGTGTGTGTATGTGTTTGTGTGGCATTTGGCTGATGTGTACACACTAGGCATGAGTTTACTGAATGATGTGTGTGTTTGGGTCTGTCTATGTTTCATTACTGAGCATTTGTGCTTGTGTTTATTTATGCACGTGTGAATATAGTTGAATGTGTCAGTGGACACAGACATAAAGAAAGTCTGTTTTACAGTTTTTTTTCTAAATAGAAGAAACTTAATCAGTGTTTTTCTCCCAGGGCTGCTTAATGTCAGTCGTGAGTATGACTGAGTATCCACTTGCACATTGTAAGTTGCAGGTAGGGACCCCATCACAAGCATAGTGTCCAGAGCCGTGCACACCCACCAGCACTGATGGGGTGAAGCAGAGAAGCGCTGGCCTTGGGAAGGAGCAGCCAACCGGACTCGCTGTTGCTATACCTGTGGCCCCCGCCTTCTAGAATGTCTCTGTTGGCAGGTCTTACGAGATGCCACCTCTCCGCAACCCTCCTGTCAGGGTCCTTTGGATTGGTGGCTCTGTAGGATCTTAAAGAGCCTTCGAGTCATCGCAGGGGGCAACCATGCATTTTGGCGTTTCCAACCCTCGCAGGAGACAGGTCCTCTGGACTAAAGGTAGGAAGGCGTGCTGATTTCTACTCTGAGTCTGTCAAAGGACCCTGTGCTCTGAGGCTATGTGTTTCCATCTCCAGCAGAGGTGGTCAGGCCCTGCCCACCTCCACTCTCAGTAAGTGGCCACTCCTTTGCTGGGTGCACAACACGTTGCCTCTGTGTGACAGGGAGTGAGTGTGCACACAGATAACCTTCTGCAGCAGACATGCCTGGTGATTGTCCCATAAATCACACTGGCCATGAGAAAGGACATTCAATTCCCTGGGCTTTTCATCATGGTCAATTAGGGAATCGGCCCCAAAGGTCAGCGGCACTGTCCTCAGCTGAGCTCAGGCTCAGTGCTCGGCCGGCTCCCCAGGAAGCCTCGGAGCCTGTGATTAATGCATCTGTCCAGACTCCTGGTTTCGACCAGGCAAATCCCTGGCATCAAAGCCCAGGTTGTCTCCCCTCGCTGGGAGCACCTGCAAACGGACTATCACCGCACACATGATATTTTGAAACTGCTATTTATTTATCCTAATTCTGGAGGCAACAGAGACACCGTGGAAAGAACTCAGGCTTTGGAGCAGGTTCTGTTATCCCTTTGAGTCTCGATTTTCTCAGCTGTTGGAGGTTACCGAGAAGGTAAGATATAAGACCGCTAAAGTGCTTGACCCACAGTAGGTACTCATGAATGATGAGCGTTATGCAAATGTTAAGATTAATAATAAAGGCTGCTGCATCGAACCACTCTTGCTTTCTTATCTCCCTCCCCCTGCCCCATGGTTCCTGTTGTCTAGAATATAATTTCTTGCCCATCAAGCTCTTTCAAAGCCTTGTGTGAGTGTCCCTTCCTCCGAGAGCCTCCTGTGTCCCCAGGGCACTGATCTGCTAGCTCTTCTGTACTCCAGTGTGACTACATGCACACACCCACTGTTGCTTAACAACATCCGTGCCCTAACGCTCCCTGGAGGAAGGAGTCTGGTCTCATCCATCTCCGTTTCCCCAGTGCCTCATAGGGGGAGGGCCCCGCATGGCAGAGGTCCCCAGCTACCCAGCGAGCACTAGCTCGGCTTCCCGGCAGGTCCTGCCCCCTCCCCCCAGTGCCGCCGTGTGCCCATCCTACCTATGGCATAGCCTTCAGGACACTGCAGTTTGAGGTTGCTGTTGAGCTGGTTCGGGGCCGAGCACTGGCCTTGCATCTCCTGGCAGAGGTGGAAGGAGCCGCTCCAGGTACCGTCTTTCCGGCAGTGGATGACATTGCTCCCACGTCCCTGAACAGAATGGAAACCCAGTCAGGACCAAGAGACACCCCACCCTCAATCTAAGCTTCTCAAAATAAAAAGGGAAACCATTTCACATCTCCCAGAGTTCTGAAGGCGTCCCCAAACAATTTCTTAACACTGGTGTAATTCGATCACCCGAAACTAGAGGCACCGGCAGTACCTCCATTTTACAGATGAGGACACTGAGGGAGGACTCCGTGTAGGAAGAAACTGGCTCAGAGCATCCCGGAGAGCCTAGCTCCCAGGTTCCCTAAGTCCTGGCTTAGTGTTCCTGCAGAGACTTCAATCAGAGAGATTTGTTTTGTTGGCTGTTTTTTTTTTTAACTGAGAAGGCAGGGGCCCCAATGCACCCCAGCTCGTGCAGTGAGTGAGAGCACGGGTCCTGGGGCTGTTCATGAGGATGGTAGGTACACACCAAAGCCTGCTTCCTCTCAGCCAATGAGAAAGCATCCATGCCAGGGCTTGCCATCTGCTAACTGGGCACTCTGGGCCTGGCTGAGAAGCTTCCTATTCCAGGGCATTGCCTTCCTCTCCTTTCCCTTCCCTTCGGCGGGCATCTTCCATTTCATTCCATTCCATTCCAGCCCATTCCAGCAATACTGGCACCAAGAAGGTGGCATGGGGATACTTCTACCTTTGCCCTCCCTCAGTTCTTTAAGACAAGCAGTATACAGTTCCTCAGTCTACTGCATTTATGCAAATGCAGCTTGTGGACAAGGTCCTTTCTGCAAACCCCCTTCCAATGTCTAAGATTAGAAAGGGAGTCCAGCCCTGTAGAAATCTCAGAGCTGCCTCTGAATTCAAGCAGCATTTTTTTAGTGCCCATTCTGTGCCCAGCTCCACGGGGCCCGAAAGTGAAGCGAGCAAAGTATCTGTCCCAGTGAGGCAAGGAAAAGAAAGTCATGTGAACAGCCAGAGAAGTGCTCGGTGACAGTGTTGAGTGTACATGGGGATAGTCACCAATTGTGAGAAGGTAAGCAGGGAAGGCTTCATAGAGGAGGTGCTATATGGAAAAGAGTTTTCAAGGATATGTCAAATCACAAGCATAATAGGGATGGGAGGACATCTCTAGAAGGCCAAACATGCAAGTGCAAGGACGTATAGTTAGTAGCAGAAAGACCCCTGACCCCACCAGTCTTGGGACCCAAGGGAGAAAAAGAGGGAGGGTGGAGCTGGAAAGGCCAGTAAAGTGTGGGGCCTTAAACATCAGCTTACATTTGGACTCTGCCCTTGGAAACAGAGAACCATGGGTGGTGTATGCACACGGGGTCCATCTACATGAGAACAAGCTGTATATTCTCTCCATCTTTCAAGCTCACGATAAGGAGAGAAAGCACATGAGGCAGAGGAGCTGACCATGCTCCACCAGCGCACCAATCTCTGGGACGGCTTGCATGCACTTCAGCTTCCACTGCAGCTCTTGTGTCCAACCCTAGGACACCCCCAGCCTTAACTCTGCCATATTCTCCTGCCTATTGCTCCCTATAGCACCATCATCTACCTTGGACTTCCGATTAAATTGCCTGCGTTCTTCAGTGCACCATAAGCAGGTTCACACTGCCGTGCTTCTGTGCTCCTGCCCTTCTGTCTGCTGTTCCTTCCCCTCCTCCCCCCATAATCGTCATCTAGGACAAGCCATCCTGGCCTAGTGGCATTCCAATTCTGCAGAGCACGCCACCCACCTTAAGGTCTCTGACACGCATCACCTCTTTGTCTGTCATCTGTTTCCACCTAGGTGATGAGATCAAGCCCAAGGAGATGCCCTATTCATGTGCACAGCCTCAGGGCCTCCCACAACATTTAATAGGCCCTGGCCACTCAGTTCATTCATTCATCACTCAATGGATATTTCTATTCACTCATGGACTATTTGCTTAACAAAAATAAAAGGTAGGGTGAATAGGTAGAGAGTTATGGAATGAATTTGGTTAATAAAAGAAGAAAAATGAATGCATGGACGGGGAAATCAATGAGTTGGTGAGTAAATGAAGAAATGAGGGCATGTGGGGATGAATGAATGAGAGCATGCTTGAGGAAATAAACTCTTTGAAAGGGCTGATGCAGGCTGAAGCTCCCCTGCCTGGGAAAACAGCTGCAAGGAAGCAGGATTCAGAAAATAAAGGGAGCCCCTCTCTGAGCCTCTCTTGGGCCAGCGCAAGGAGGGTCCAATTGCAGTGGGAAGCTCTGTGTCCATGGGTGAAGGGTGATCCATCCCCAGCACGCAGCAGCGGGGCGACTTGCATAGTCCACCCCTAGATGTTCTGTGTGAGCTCAGGCAAGTTTAAGAGGCTTCATGTGGCTTCAGAGAACCCCAATTCTCCCTCCCAGAGCCCCAGGATCCAGGCCCCATGATTCTGCTGGGCCCCCAGGGGAGTAGGAATTGACCCCAATTTCCTGGAGCCTTGGCCTGAGGCTATGATGCATTTGGCCTCCAGCCCCCGAAGGGCTGCAGACCTCAGCACTACTTGGGCCAGAGCTGGCTGGGGAGCTCATTTTGCAGCAGAGAATGTATTAGAACTAGCTGGAATCTGCTCAGGGAATTTCGAACTGGGAAGGCTCCACCATAAAAGGTGGGAGCATGAAGGCACCAGTCTTACTGCCTCCAGTCTCTCTCCCTCTTGCCCAGTTCATCTGGCACTTTGTGCTGTTGACTAAATCTGCTTTTAAAAGACTCCTGTGGAGGTGCCTTAGCCTTCCAAACAAGGCATGCTCATAGGCTGGCAGTTCCGGGCTTCCACAGTGGAACCCAGACAGCATGTCTAGCCCCATCTCTTGCTACGTGCATGTCCTTCCTTCTGGCCCTGTGGTCACCTTGCCTCTCCAGCATGCTTCTCGTTTCCCGCCATCACTCCTTTGCTGTGCCCCCTGCACAGCAGACTTTCTGGAGCCTCTTTGGATTTTCAAACCCTCCTTTAGGACTAGATCTTGGTGCACTCAGGGCTTGCCTACCACCTCGTGAAGATCCTTGGAGTAGATCCCTGATGCTGAGTCTGGTTGGACCACAGAAGACCTGACATTGAGCAACCAATCTGGGAAGACCAGGGCCCAGTGGCAGGGGGCCCACTGGAATATCTGGCTCTAAATGCACAGTTTTGCACACTAAGGTGAAATCTTTCACAAGAGGGCTAAGCATCCCTCAGCAAAACAGTTTGCCTCTCTGTGCCTGTGCATCCGTCTGCAAAAAAGAACATGTTGTACTCTCTCAAGCTCTCTTCAACTACACAGGTCCACAAAGAGCTGAAGGCTTATGATAATTACATGATCAAATACCTTTTATGTGCCAGGTGTTTTCCACACATTTAAAAATCCTTTTAACTATGTAGTGGAGGAGAAATGATGTCCCTTTTACAGATTTGGAAACTAAGGCTCAGCTTGGAATTGAAAAAGTAAGTTCTGAAATGATGCCAGAGTCATGGTTAAGAGTATGGACTAATACCAGAGTTCAAACCCCATCTCTACAACATCCTATCTGTGTCCTGTAACTTTTCCATGCCTCAGTTTCCTCAGCTGTTAAATGGGCATGGCATCCACTACCCAAGAGTCTTCATGAGGATCCTGGGAGTTAGCCTATGGGAAGCATTTAGATATTGACACACACATCGGGCTTTCTGCAAGTTAGCTAAGGCTCTTAACCACTCTGCTATACTGTCTCTAAGTATCAGCCCAACCATCACCCACATTTTAGAAATGCCAGTGGTCAGAATGGGGGGCCAACGTGCCCAGTCCTGTAGGTTGCCAATGCTGGGGCCAGGTCTCTTGACTGTAAGCCTCTGTGGATTTACTACCAAGCAAGGGAGGGGAGAGGCAGGGAGGGGAGGGGAGGTGAAGGGAGATGGAGAACTAGACTTCTTCTCCTTAGTAGAAATAAAAACATACAAAATAATGGCCGAGAGAAATGTGGCCACACTAGGGGAAGGTGGAACCGGGAAGTGCAGGATTTAAACAGTTAAGCTCTGGAGGCAGTGGGAGGAGTGGGGCTGTGCATCAGTCAACACCATCTACTAACTTGCAACTGTGGGCAAGCCTTCTAGCACCTTTCAAGTGCCCCATAGCCACACGTGGCCAGTGGCCACCACACTGCACAGCGTAGCTATGGAACATCATCATCGCACAAAATTCTACCAGGCAGCGCTGGTCTAGAGAATCCACATATTCTACAGGTTAATTTGAGCAAGAGAACAGGTTTTCCCTGGTTCGTACTGACCTCCCCACCCCACGTCCTGGCCTCATGCATTATGGATGCCCCCTTCTCTGACTTTCTGGCCTCACTTTCAAGCCACTGCCTTTGTGTTTAGCTCCTGTAGGAGCCCGCATGGAGCATCCCGGATTTTCCCCTCCAGAAGTGACCGTATAGGCAGGCTGGTTCATTTGTGCCTTCCCCAGGGCTGCAGGGTATGGGGGCACAGTGTGTTCCGCACAATTCCAGGGGGTACCTGTACACATACACTGCTTTCATTTCATCCCCACAAATAAACCGTGAGGTAGGTGGTGTTATTACCCCCCCCACCACCACCCCATTTTTTGTATGAGGAAACTGAAGCTGAAAGAGTTAAATAACTCGCCCAAGTTTCCCAGCTAGTAAGTGGTGGAGCCAGGATCCGAACTCAGACACCAGACCTCGCATCATCCTGGCTCCCAAGGAACCAATAAAGTGGAGGTTTTATCCGTTAATTTGCTTTTAGTGGCAGTGGGAGAGCAAACGTGAGTCTCCCCTACAACAGCCCCCCTCCTCTCCGCCAGGGTCTGGAACTGGTTTGGACGGCGAAGAATTCCTGCTCCACACAAGCTATTGGATTCGAGATGCTCTGGGCCGTACGTTTCTGCGTGTTTACAGGCAGCAAGAGGGGATCTGAGGTGAATACTAGCTTTGGCTCTCAGTCCCCCGGTCTGAGGGTAGAGGAAATTCATTTGCAGTACAAACTAGAAACGTCAATTGTATTAGGAGCCCATTTGGCACGCGCTCCATCATTCTTCGAGCCGACGAGCAATACCCTGCTCCTTTGCGTCTGGCCTCTCCGCCCGTTGCCAGACTGAACTGCTTGAGTCGTCTGATAAATTTACATTTTCCTCTCCCTTAAATACAAACTGGCCATGAAAGGTACTTGGCAAGCCCCAGGCAGACTGGGTTTCAGTATGATAACATGACCGCGGCCAGAATATTATTTGGCTCAGTAGTCGGGGTAACGGTTAGCAACAGTTTTATGTAAGGGAGGCAGAGGGAAGTTGATCGGCCTGCGTGAGGCCGTGGTAATCTCTGGCCTTAGCTTGTTCCAGCACCGGCTTCTGCTTCCCTGGCCGTCAAGGATGGGAGTGACTGGGGCGGGCACGTAGACATCCCTGAGACACTAGCAAGGATTCTCAGGTAGTACCTATTGGATTCAGTCTGTCCACAGTTGGGGGGACCTGGGTTCTGATTCTGACTCCGCCGACCCCAGCTGTGTCACCTTGAGTGGTTGAGTGACTTCTCTGAGCCTCAGGTTTCTGAACTGGAAAATGAAGAGATTCGCCTGGATGTTCACTGCAGCTCTCTGCCCTGCCCTGTCATTTCTTGAGCCCCTACCAGTTGCTTGGCATTGTCCCCAGTGTTCAAAACACAGGGAGGATTAAAGATGTGGTCAAGGAGTTCAGAGCTTAGGATGGGAGGAAGCAGGAGGGTGGGGGAGGTGCATAAATGAATTTCAGTGCACTGTGTGCAATGCTGTCATTGAGCCTGAGAGGGGAAGGGACATCAAGACAGGGTTCCTGGAGGGAAGGGTGCAGCTTGAAAAGGTGAAAGACTGCAGAGGTGAGATCAGTCTTACGGTGACAGAGGAAAGGTCTTGAATCCCACACTGAGGAGTTGGGATTCTAGCCCAAGGGAAACGGGAGTGGCTGGTTCACAAGGGCTTTAAGCAGGGGAACCTTCATGATCAGATGTGCTCCAAACCAACCGCTCTGGCTCAAATGCAGACGCTACAGTGGAGAGAGGCAAGAATGTAGAAACAGGGAGATGGTCAGGAAGGTGCATGGTGGCCCACGGAAGATGGTGGTGGCCTAAGTTAGCTTGGTGGCATTGCAGACAGGTGAGAACTTCAGAGGTCTTGGAGGGAGAATGGTTAGGACTTGGTAATTGCTTAGAGGACGAGAGGATGGTGGTTTGGCAGTGCCTGGTATTTGGTAGCCAACAGTAAAGACTAGTGAGGACTGGCAGAGGGTGAAACCTGCACTGGGGCTCAGTTGGCAGAACGCTGGCCTCACCTGGATGAAGAACCTTGCACACCTGTGAGGCATGGTGTTTGGGGTTTGACCCTAATGCCTTGGGTCTGTCAAGGTGGAGATCCTTATGGACTGTGGTCTCTTTGGAGCCAGCCTGGCCTCTCATTTCTCTTCCCCATTCTCAATCCCCTACATGCCTTACTGGGTGGTGTAGGGGAGGGTATGTGTAAGGGGTAAGGAAAATTAATTCACAGAACTCCAGTAGAGGCAGGCAAGAGTACCGGGCTTTCTCTCAGTTACATGTGGATTAAGATAAAATCCAATCCCTGCCATCTCCTTCCCTTCTCCCCTTTCCAAAGTTTTCTCAAAACTGTACCTCAAGTCTAAATATGGTTCCCTTTCTGTTTACACTTGAGAAGCCCACTGATGCCTTAAGATAGTGGTAGTCTTGTGACTTTACTTCAGGGATCAATATAGTGCTGATGGTGGCGGAAAGTTGGCAAAACAGCCCTGGTCATTCCTATCTCATTAAGTTATCTTTGATCAAATTCATACACTCAGATTCCACAGATGACTTCCCTCATCGGGGTTCCAATACTAAAATGTTCTCAAAGCTAAGAATCTCTGAACAAATAAAATATGGCATTACAGGGAAGAAAACGAGGCTCAGAGAGGTTACAAAGAAAGATCACTGGAATCCAGTCTCTTAACTTCTGCATTGGTGATGTTGCTATTATACAAATCTGTCATCTGCCGAGTATCCCCTGGAGGAAGGGGTTCTTGAAATATAGGCTGGTCTCTGGTAAGCAAACAGGAGAGGGACTCAAGTACTGGTCTCACCTGGTTGGTGTCGCTGTCTTCGCACTTGACCCTGCACTCACTGTTGAACCGGAAGCCGTCTGTGCACTGGTAGAGCCCGTGGAATTTCGGTGGAGGCGGGTCACAGGTTACAGGAACACAAGCCCCCTCCTGCCAGCTGCCATCTTGGGTACACTGAGTCTTGAAGGCCCGTCTTCAAGGAAGAGATAAAAGAAGATCTTAAGGACCCAATGGCTAGACCCATGCTCTACCAAAACACCCAAGTTTCTCTGCGGCCAGCTGGTCTCTCACTTCCCTTTCCTGTTCTTGGTTCCCTACCTGTCCTACTGGGAGGTGGGGGGCGTGTGAAGGGATTAAGGAAAATTGACTCATAGAAATCCTTCAATGGGGGCAAGCAAGGCTTTCAGATTTTGTCGTAGTTACATGTGGATTGAAATTAAACCCAAGCCGTGCTAGTCCCGGTCTTCTCCCTTTCTTCCCAAGTGGTCTGATTGGTGCTGACACTCCGAGGACATTAACACCCACCGTTTATTGAACAATTACTATGTGCCAGGCACTTTGCAAGCACCTTACGTATACATTCTCATTTATTCTTCACAGTATCCTATGTGAAACTCTTACTGTCACCTTCAGCTTACTGTTGAAAAAACAGAGGCCCAGAGAAGTGAAGTCACTCACATGAGGTCACACAGCCAGTAGGCAGTCATTAACAATGTCTGTCAAGGTTCCCAGGGTGGGTTGTGCCTCCATTAAAGAAATGAGCACTTTCTTCTAGTCAGACTGCAAGGCCCAGCTCTCCTGAAACCCTGAACCTGGGGGTTTGTGTTTGTAGCCCCACTTACTTCTTTGACTTCCGAGAGGAGCCGGGCACATGGTATCCAGGTTTGCACTTGTACTTGCAGAAGGAGCCCACCTTGTGCTTGTTTTCTCGGCACCGGGCAGTCTGCAGGTCTGCGTTGGGCACCGGGGGCGGGGCGAGACACATGAGCTCGCACAGGGCCTCCGGGAAGGACCACAGCCCGTCCTCCATACAGGTCAGGAGGCTGTTGTTGCCTGGAGACAACAGACAGGCAGGGTTAGCAGACGGGGGTCTCTGGTAGGCAAGCCAGCTCACGAGCTGCCTGGACTTAAGCCAACCTGAGGAACCAGAGGATCTTCCTTCCACCTGTAATTCCAGACTCTCCACTTACAACCCAGGAACCTAGGGAGATCGAGAGAGTGCCCCAAAGAAGAGATCCAGCTTGGGGGAGGGGGGACTTACCCCATGTCTATAGTGAATTAAAGATTTGAGGCTCTGGACCTCTTCTCCTGAACCTCTTTACTGCAGAGGAAAGAGATCTGGCTTTGCCAGGTGGACACCTGAGCCCAGGGATGAACGTCCTTGCCTTCTAATAGCTGGCAGCGTAAGTGCCTGTCAGTGTACTGAGAGCTCTGGCTCCGGTGTGCTGTGTGGCCTCAAGGCCGCCCCTTGCTGGCCCTGCACTCCGCATTCACCCCAGCTCCCCTCCTGCCTGGAGGCGACAGCATCGTGGTATCAGAGGCCTCACTTTCTTTTCAGTCCCCAGTGTTCGTGAAGTTTTGCCAAAGCAGCTGAGAGAGCAGCACGTCCCCCCGCAGCCCATGCCAGCTCTGACAGACGTGCTGATTGCCATCGGGAAGCTGGCCTGATGGGGACGTAGCAAATAAAAGTGAAGCACAGAGAGTCCGGCTTTTCCTTGCCAGGTCGTATATTATCAACACGGCCTGCCCCAACCCTCCCCGAGACAATTAGAGACGGGCCTAAAACTCGGGTTTCTCAATCAAACTCCTCTTCCGGGCCATTACTGAACGGTGTTGACAGCCAGGGCTGGAAGCACGGGGAGGCTCTGGGATTTGGAGGTTGGAAGGTCTGATCTGAAGGTTGGAGAGCTGAGTGACAGGGATGAGGCTGACATTTACTACGTACTGAGTGCTTGGGTGTGGAATCTCCTGTATCCTCACAGCGGTGCTCCTAGCCTGAGGCTTCCTCGTTAGAAACAGAGACTCAGGAAGAGGAGTGACTTGACCAAGTTCTCACAGTTAGTAAAAGGCAAAATTGAAGTTCAAAACCAGCTTTGTGTAACTACAAGATGGTTACTGTTTTTAATGAGAAGTTGGCCATATATGCTCAGCAGAGCCCTTATGATCTAGTCTGAGAGGCAAACTTCAATATCTTAGCTACAGAAAGAGAACAATTGCTCCTGCCTTTCACGCTGATGAGAAGATACATTTATGAAAAGGGTCCAGAAAAATGCTATTGAATTCCTTATTTGCTTCCCTCCCTCCGTCTCTCCCTCACTCCCCCCTCCCTCCCTCGCTCCCTCCTAATCTTTTGCCTGCACTAGAAGATCTGAAAGGACCATGTGAGTTACACACAAGCCTTCATTCATTCAACAAGCATCTACATAGTGGTTACTACAATGCTAGCTCCGATTTTATATGTTGGGACAAAGCAATGGACAAAACTTAAAAACAAAACCTCAAACCCTGCCCTCCGGGAGCTTCTATTCTCCTTGGACGGGGTGGGTGGGGCACACAATAAATTATGCCAGGCAGTAAACCTTTCGGCATGCTAAGAGGCGGTAAGTACCATGGAGAGAAATAAGCAGGAAAAAGGAGAGAGAGTCTGTGCAGCTTTATGCAGCTCCTCCGCCTCTCCCCCCGTTCCGGTCACCGTCAGTGTGAATCATCTGGCGAGCACAAGATAATTTAGTGTCTGCAACCCCCAGGGGATCCCACGTTGATAAACTGCGATGCTGCAAAAACAAACTGCAGATATTTCTCTATCAAGCAGGAGGAGTGAAGGGTGTGGAAGGGCGATTCATTTCGCTTCCATCGAGGCGGAGGCTCCCGGACGCCCGGAGACCACACGTGGCTGCCTGCGCTGCTGTGGCGACAGGGGCGGTGCTGCCGGGTGCCCGGGACGGCAGGCGCTTAGCGGAGAGAGGAGTTATAAAAGATCTGCGGGGAACACCCTCTCTGAATTCCCCAAGGACAAAACATCTGTGGAAAAAGTGTTGGGACTCTTTAAAAAGTATCCCATATCTGCTATGCCAATCATGAATTGTGAAATGAACGGCGCGGTTCCTTTGCGGCAAAATAACATAAAAATTGCAAAATGTTAATCGAGAGAGAAAAGACGCAAGCCAGGAACGTAAATTCTGGGAGAGGGTAAGCTGGAGTTAACCCTGTACCAGGGTCGAAGGAAGAAGCCTGCGAAAGGCAGGAGCTGGTGATTCAGGACCATGGACATGCCCCCGCCCCGGCCCAGCAAACCCGGGGTGCAGCCGCTGCTCCGGGCAGCATCCGTGTCTCCCCGCGCAGCTGCGGCCGCTCCTGCGCACCGGCTTTAAGAAAGTGGGGGGTGACACTGGCCGTCCATGCCCAGACTGCGTCCCCTCGGCCCTGACCTCTGTGCTCTGAAGGTTCTGATGCATATTCATGTGACCCTGACCTTCGTCCGTTCAACTTTCAAAGTCAAGAAAGTAAAACTTGCTCGGCCTGTCTACAAATGTGCCTCAGGAAATTTCAGTCTCTAATGAGTATTGAAATAATTATAAACATAGTGTCAAAAGAGATGTGCCTGTTTTTGTTATGTTATTTAAAAGACTGTACAGAAGACCCAATCTCTTTGGGAGGGGCTTGGAGATTAAAATTCACCCAGAACAGAATCCAGGAGGGAAGGGCCGGGAGACCCAAGCTCTGGCTCTTTGTACCCCATGCATGGTGTCAGCACTGCCCGCATCATAAAGGCGGGGAATGCATCTTCTTCATTCTTTTACTTCTAGAATACAGCATAGTGCCAAGCACACAGTAGGCCCTCAATATACATCTGTGAAGTACATGAAGTATTATGAATCTACCTGTGACCTTGAGCAAGTCAACTAACCTCTCTGGCCCTAAATTAACATTTTAGAATGTGAAAGGCTATATATTGTTGGCCCCTATGTTGCTTTGAGAAAACAAAACTGCAGCTGGCAAGGACAAATACACACTCAGGTGGCTGCATCAGCTGAGGGCTAGTGCTGGTGGAATTGGGAAGAGACTTGTTTTATTTTTCTTGGTAAGACACAGAGGTCACAGTAGAAGACAAGGCAGAAAGACAAAGAGCACAGTAGTGGTTTGGACCCCAGGACACCCCAGACTTTCAGATCTCCAAAATACTGGGGGGATAAGAGGAAACATTCTTTTAGGAGTTGTAAGAAAATTCCTCTTAGGAGGTGACCTTGTTTGTGGGAAGATGCCTGGTGAGACCTGTGGAATAAAGCCGAACCCTCCAGGGCCTGGCTACCTGCTTCTGAGAAAGACGGAAGGGTCCCTGCCTGAGAGGGGAGAGAATTTGGAATTCCTAGAGGGAGGGAGGCTGTGGCAGGATTCAAAAGGAAGAAGGTAAGGGACCTCTAAAAGAGCTGAGGGCCGGCAGAAAAGTTAAGTGCTGGGCACTGTAGGATGCGGCCACTGTCCCTGTCCAACCGGATCAGTCCCTCTCTTCGGAAGGTGCTCGATGGTATCGGGGTATCTTATAGAAATTAGTGAAGAGGCTGAGTTTTATATCTGAGGTTACAGAGGCAAAGCAGGGATAGAAAAGGCACCAAGAACCAGAATAGAAAGTCAGTGTTTTAAAAGAGGGCACACTTACGTTAGACATCCCACTCCACAGTCAAATTCAAGTGCACCCAACCTGGTTCAGTTGAGGCGACATAAGTAATGCTGCAGTTTTAACCATCCCCATTAAACATTATTGGGCTTGGAATTTAAGTGGAAGTCAAGAAAAATTCACCTGGAATAGAAGGGGCAAGTGGGTTTGTGGTGCTACTTGTGCTACACCAGGTTCCCAGAGTCTACATTTGGCAGCTTGTCCTGGGTGGTGGCTGCTCATCCGGGGACATTAACCCCCGAGTCCTGGGGAGGAAATTGTTTAGACGAACTCTTTACCCCATGGTTTGAGATGCACGCAGTGCCAATGGGTTCTAGTGCATCATTGTGGCCACTGGGGAGATGCTTCCCTGTAATCTTAAGGGAAGGGCAAAGTTGGGGTCAACCGCTATCAAAATGATGGTCTTTCTGGGTCCTCGTGTCCACAGCACAGCGACTCCTCCTCTATTGTGGTCAGCAGAGAAGCAATGGCAGATGGGTCTGAATCCCTTTGATTAAGAATTATTATTAGCCGCAATGAGGGTTGTAATATTCAATGCCAATTTATACACATTTCCAACAGCCTCTTACTGAGATGTGTGTGATTTCTTAGCCATACACCCCACATCTGGGCAAATGGGCCATGTGAAAGGCTCAGATAATCTAATGATGGAGGGTTTACAATTTCTACTGGTCTCTTCACCTTTCTCAGGTCAAATCTTTATAGTAGCTCAAATGAACTGTCTACAGCTTTTTTACTCAAGTCGTATTGGATTTAAAACAAGAGACCTAAGGGATTCATCCCCAAAGTGTTCCCTGCTTCTCTTTTGGGACAGTTTAGTGAGACTGTGTGTCTTTCATTCATTCCTAAAAGAAATGTTTCCTGTGGTGTTACTGTCATCATTTCATTGGGTCATCTAGGCAATATGTTTTATTGAGTCTCCCTACGTGCAAGCCCTGGGTTCGCTGACAGCAATGTTGAAAGGAATTAAACACAGACACTGCTTCCTAGAGACTCAAGTCCACTAATCTTTCAAAGTTGTGTATCCCTTTGAAAATTTGGGGATACTACTGATGCTCTCTGATCTTCAAAATGCCTGAGACTCATGAATATACATTATATCTAAGTTTAAGGGAATTTACAGATTTCCTTCCAACCCCCCACCCCCACCCCACAGAAGTCTACTCTTACACACTTTACAGAATTATGGACCCGAATGGGCATCTGTGCTCGAGTGAGGTATCATTTTGGATATCTGATAAAGGGGCGATGCTTCCTCTGATAAACCAAGCTAAGGAGAGGGTCCTGGCACCTCTGATAATTGAACATAATGTCAAAATCCAATAGTCAGTTGAAAGCCAACAGCATTTATCCTGATAATGCCACTACCTTGCTCTGTGATTTTGCACAAATTCCTTCCTTCCTCTCACTGGACCTCAGTTTCACCGTCTTTCCCATAACCAGTGATTCCTGATGAGCTCTGAGTGCCCTTCGGACCAGCCGCCCACTCATTTCCTAAATGTGGTCTCTTCTTCAGTTTGCTTGATGACGTCTGATTTGAGTTCTAATACTCCTCCTGTCTAGCCCAGGGATGGTAGTAAACAGCTCCTAGCCACACCCGCCCTCTCTCCCTGCTAGCCTTTCCTAAAGAGTGGCAGTTGGCTTTGGAGAAAGCCAAGACCTGGGCTCCAATGTGAATCCCACCACTAATATGGTAGCCTTGGACAATGTCCCCCTCTGGGACAATGAGGGTTAAAATGCTCACCTCCTAGGCTCACTGGGCCCTAATCACATCCTGAGAATGTTACTCTCTTAATCGTCTTTTCCTCCCTCTCTCTCGCCCTATTTTCCTCCGTTTTCTTGCAAAATTTGCAAGATCTTGGAGAGGATTCCACTGCCACACTTATCCACACTCGTGATTTTTCCTTAGCTGCCCAGCAGGGACATTTACATAAGTACAATTGGTGGAAAGAAAAATCCATCCAAAGCTTGGTGTCTGAGACCCAGGAGGAGAACCTGTAAGAGTCTCTGGGATTCCCGCGCAGGAAGCAGGGTGAGCCCAGCAGAAGGGCGCTCCATTACCTTTCAACTGCGCTGGGTGACGACACTGGAAAGAGCATTTGCTGCCAAAGGTGGTGCCCTCCAGGCAGGAGAAGGAGGCAGCATAGACGTGATGTTGGTCCGGGATGCCACAGTCCACAGGCTCACATGCCACCTGCTTGTTCCACTTGCCCTCAGTGCAGGTCACTGTGACGCTGGGCCCCGTCTGGAAGGCAGGAGTGGACACAGTGAGTGGTGGCAGACTGCATCCCAGATATGGGGAAGCACCCTTCTCCCCAGGCAACTGCTTAGGAGACCAATGCTTAGTGCTTCCCTGCAGCCCACTTTTAATCCCAACAATTGCATGAATTAGGCATCTCGGTTCCCATTTCACAGATGTAGAAACTGAGGCTCAGAGACAATCAGTGATTATCCCCAGGTTACACAGCTGGAAAGAGAATAAATGGAAATTGAACCCAAAGGCTATGCATCTAACTGCTGTCTATAGCTCTCCAGGTCATTATTTCATTATATTGATAAGAATCTTGAGACTCAAGACCTCTGGGTCGTGATGAGTTCTTTCACAAAAGGGCCTCTGACACATGGCGCAAAATAGGACACTGTCTGCCAAACTCTATCTTTTTCTGGCTCTGGAGGCAGTTACAGGAATCTATTATAGTGTCTGGTGGACAATGGGCTGTCTGGGATCTTGGGGCCCTGGATGGTTTTCCTCTGTGACAAGTCTCTTTCTTATTTCAGTTTTCCCACTGCCACTGAATCGAAGAATTGCTTCAGGAGCCACTCCCCACTCTAGAATTTGATGGTTCAATAGTTGAGAGAGGTAGACGTGAAAAAGGAACAAGGCTGGGGAAAGTCATAGGGTCCACAGTGATTGGAACCAACCTAGAAGGTGACAGGGCCCCATGGGTGGAAGGGCGAGGCCAAGCTACTGAGCCAAAAGAGGGACAGTCATCCGCAACCCTGGGGGCTCCCATTCACGGAGGAAGGCACCAAATCCTAGGGCATTAGGGATGCCAAATGTGGATCTGGGATTTTAAAAGCAAAGGACACTTTCCCCTCTACAGCACACATCAAAGAGAGCAGAGGGCCTCACTGCCAAACAGCCTAATTGTCTCCACAGGAGTTCAGACCTGCCCTGTCTGACCCACGGAAGCAGGGGTCTAAGACAAGCTGTCTAGAGCTTCCAGGTTGGTACCAATAGCTGTTCCCAACACCAAGGAACATGCCCTGTGTGTTCACAGCATGAAGGCGAAGTCTGCTGGTGGGGCCCTGGACTTCGAAGTCTGCATCTAGTGACAGAGCTCCGAATCCTCAAGTCTCAGGCCTCACTGCCACCGAGCCCCACTCTCCCTCACCCACCCAAGACCCGGCAGCAACGTCTGGCTGAAGCAACATTACGCCGTATCTCAAACCCACTCACTGCCACACCCCTCGTGCAGGACACACCCCTCCCCCCGATCTCTTCTGATGGCCACTGAGGGCTCTCCCTGGGGCCAGTCTACTGCCAGACTCCAAGCCACACCCAAGCGGGCAGCCAGAAGGGCCTTCATCAACCATGACTGGACCACATTACTTCTTTTATCAGCTCCCTGCTGCCCTACAGATAAACCCAGACTTCCTAACCACACAAACAGGGCCTTATGCCAGCGGATCCTGCCTCACTGCTCAGGTGAGTTCAGAAAAAGAAAAACCTGTGTGTGGCATGCTCTCTCTCACCTGTGGGCTTCCACTTACCATCCCTGCCTGTGCCCAGAACCCCAAAACACGTAGCTCTTCCCTCTCCCCAGCACACACCCCTTTGCCTGTTGATCTAATCCTCAGTTTTCATGTCACTTCTCCCAGGGCATTTGCACATTTCACACTTCCCTTTACAGTGCTGTTACACTGCTTGGTCGTGACTCACTGGCTCATCCTAAGTGCTCGAGAGGCAAAACTAGGTTTATCTTAGCAACTTCCTCCCCTCCAGCTTCTAGTATACCCTCTGGTTCCCAGTGAAAAGGTGCTCTGTGATGAATGGATGAATGAACCTCATTGACAGAGGGCTCACCTCTTCCTAAAGCAGCCCATTCAACTGTAGCAGAGTTTTGACTGTAAAGGTTTCATTCGAAACGCTCAGCCGTAGTCTTCCAGATTTGCAGCCCACACAAAGACTCTGACACCTGTAGCGTGGAACACTACTCTGCCCGGAACCACTGTCATACAAGTTCCTGATCCATGACTGACTCATTCAATCAGCCCACGTTCACTGAGCATCTGCTATGTGGCATCGCTACTTTAAATGCTGGAGATCCAGCCGAGAGCACGTCTAGCGCCCGCTCGGCCTCTCCAGGCTGGAGGGCTGCAGGCCAGCACCTGCACGCACCTGGGTCTTGATCAGTTCGTCGTCCCGCTGTATCTGCAGCACGTAGCCCGTCTGGCAGCTGACGGTGCACTGGGCGCCGTGGTAGCGGTCGCTGCTGGAGCAGTTGAGAGAGGCGTTCTGCACCACCAGCTCCGGACAATCAGCGGCCTCACACGCGAAGTGCACACAGCTGGAGGGAGGAAACAGGCAGGTAAGAGGGAGCTTTCCTGCAGGACCTCTGCCCTCCAGCTGGAAGAGGAGAGCCAACGGCCTCCCTCTCCAAAATTTCAGGAGGCCGAGACTGAGGAGAGGAAGAGGAGACTGAGGGAAGGAAGGGGAGCCGGTTTGGGTGAGGAAGATTCTGGAGGCAGCGGATGTGTTACGAGCGCAAGTTACGGAAACAGACAAACCAGGGTTCAAATCCTTGAAAGCTTTGTAAGTTACTATGCTTCAAACGTTGCAGAGCCTCAGTTTTTCCATCTGTGAAATGGGGATCATTCCCTTATGGCAAGTATTTACTGTGTTTCTTATCTGCCTGACACCGAATTGAATGAAAGCCTCTCTATGTTTTATGATAGTACAGAGCAGAATTCCTGGCACAAAAAAGGGCGCAGTAAATGGCAGCTAACGATGTAACTAAATCTATACTCTGTTACCTAGAAGCTGCGTAACTTTGAGCAACGCACATCACCTTTCTGATGTACCTGCAGCATATTCTCAGGCTCGGCCAACCCACAGAGCCATGAGCCTCCAGGGAGGTGTTGCATGGAGAGTCTTTTATAAACTGTAATTTGTGAATTGCTAGGAAAGCTGTACAGAGATCACGCCTCGCGTCTTCTGCAGCTGCTGTTCCAATCTTCCTGCCAATTCCAATTCTACCTATTCTTCAAGTCCCGGTACAGGTACATTTCCACAGGACATTTTACCTGTGTCCCCAGGTGAGCTTCCCTGCAGGCTCCTGCCCCCTTTCCCCTGGCGCTGCGGAGTCCTGCTGCACCGGCAGCACAGGTCCTGGCGCCCCCCGGGCCGGAACGTGTGCTCATCCCGGAGGGTGCAGGCGAGAGCCACAGGACACCCCTGCGCCTGGCGGCCTTTCCCCTCCTATCACAGCTACACCGACCCTCCGGCGCATGAATGGCTATTCACGAGTGGGTATGCACATGAGCTCACTCCATCCTCACGACAACCCTATGAGCTAAGTGTTACTCATTTTACAGCTGGAAAAACCGGGGACCAGTGAGATTAAGTTACTGCAGCTCCCACCCAGATGTGTGGCTCCAAAGTCCTGTGGTTAACCTCTCCCTACACCTGCACTGGAGCTGCCCTGAGGGTCGAGATAATGCCCGTTTCATCTTGGTTCACTTTGCACTGGCAAGAAAAACTCCTCGCATATAGTAAACATCCCCTAACTAGCGAGAGGTGAATGGTGGCGAGAGACAGGGAGCGACTGGGGGCCACACCAGCTTAAGGAGAAATCCCCAGTGTTTTTCCTTTTTGCCAGTTTCAGGACACACTCCTGAGGGTTTTACAGGCACCCGGTTAAACACCACCACACTCCATCCCCTGCTGGGAACTGTGGTGAGAAATGAAGTGGGTGAGGGAGGGGAGGAGCTAAAATCTCCAGAACATACCACCAACGAATTCACCTTTTTGTTCCAATTCACTTTTTTAAATACCTGGGAGAGGGCAAGCGTCTGATTAGGCCTCAGCCCCCACGCTGATGTGGGCTTTGCACTGTCCACATAACCCCCCACCCACCGCCCCTTCGGAAGTAGGTACAGGGCTAGCGGGTTCCCTCACATGCGCTGAGATGCTGAGACTTTCCGATTCCCACCCTCCTTCCTGCTCCTCAGAGCCTTGGTGCTGTGCCACATGGGGACCTCGAAGAGACTGTGACTGTGGAGTCGACTCAGGGCCTTGACACTAAACAGTGCATCTGCTCACGTTGTGTACGGGCTGGGGAAAGGGCCACGTGGTTCCAATTCAGCTGGATTCACTCTGGGAGCTACCAGCTTCCCAGCTGGTCTTCTAACTACACCTTACAGATTAGCTACTCTCTCTCTGCACTCCCAGGATGTCCCTGGGCTCATGTCAGAGGATGACCCAGGGGACTCTAGGAGCCCCACTGAGAGACAAGATCTGGTCTTCTCTGGGCTGTGGGGTCATTAAGGAAGGAGCAGTGCCCTCAATTCTGTGCATGTTAATATTCTTCTTTGCAGGAAAAGGGCAAGCTGAAAAACTTGACTTTCTAGAATGGAAAGAGCACAGGACTTCGAAATTGGGCAAGTCTGGGATCCCGCCCCAGTTCTGCCATTTTTATTAGCTATTTGACCTTGGAAAGTTACATACCACCCTGAGCCTCAGTTTCCTCATCTGCAAAATGGAGGTAATAAAATGATTTCTCTCTCAAGATTGTCAGCAGGATGACATGCCAGCCACTCATTCATCTATTCAACAGACCTTTTCTGGGTGCCCTGCTGCGTACCAGACACTGTTCTCAACACTGGGGACACAGCAATGGAGGGGACAGGTCAGACTCCTGCCACCTGTGTGTTTGAGGAAGGACACATGCCAAAGTAAAGTAATACATAAGCCTGTTTTAGACAGTGATGCATGCGGTAAGGGCCCTAAAACAAGGTAAAAGTACAGAGGGTGACTGTGGGGGGCTGGGGGCAGGACACTTTGTATACAGGGGCCAAGGACAGCCTCCAGGAAGAGAGAACGTCTGCACTAAGACCTGGATGAAAGGATCAACCATACAAAGGTTTGGGGCAGAGGGAATCCCAAGCATAAGGAAGAACATGTGCAAAGGTCCAAGAGAGGGTGGAGCTCAGCGTGTTTGTAGAGTAGAAAGATCAATGCGTGAAAAATGCTTTGGAGACTACAGCTCCATGAGAAAGTGGTCTCTGTACTCTGGCTCTTTCTGCTCTAGAAGGAAAGTATTCCTGAGTTACCCGACCACAAAGGTTTCACAGTCAGATGAGAAAGGTAGCATTGCATGAATGAGACCAGTCAGCTTTCTTCACTGCAGGACTTCTCAGAACCCTGAATGTTCTAAAGCACACTTGGATTTCCAGAAGAGGCTAAGGTATGTCCATTTCTCCAAACTCTGATAACCTTTCTTCATGGGACATTTCTTAGGACTAGCGTCTTCCAGAACACACTTTGGGGGAGTGAGGCATCCCTACTTTTTCAGCATATCTGTCTGCACCTGGTTTGCAGGCTTGAAGGCAGGAAGGCAAGGGGAAGAGAGGTGTTATGTGCTGGGCACTGGCCTCTGTGTTTGATCCACGGCATTTTGTCTGCATCCTTACAGTGACTCCTTGAGGTGGCATTATCTCCCCACCTTGAAGAAGAGGAGACTGAAGAGTTTAAGTTGCTCGTCCAAAGGTCCTCTGTGTAGACAGAATTTGTGTGGATCTGCCTGTCTGTCCCAAGTCCCTTCCTTTACTTTCCACTTAGTTGGAAAGGGTTATGTGAACACATTGTCCAAAGACGATAAACATTACCCCAACTGCCCCTCCCAAATACCTCCCTGACACAGCCCTGTCATTTCTGAAACACAAAAACAAAAATTAAAACAAAGAAAACAAAACAAAAGAAAAGCCTCTGGCTTCATAAAAAATAAAAATAAAAAAATAAAAAAAGTGGGGGAAGAATTTAATACCCGTGATGGACGGTCAATAAAGATAATTTGAAAGGAAAAAGGGATACTTCTCAGAAGGGAGGAATGGGGCTGATCAGAGGGATGGGGGAAGGGACACAGGTAAGCTGCCGATGAGATTCTCACATCTGGACAAAGGTGGAGAACTCCCTCCCTGCTCCCCGGGATGCAGATAATTAGATACTTCTGGATTTTCTTTTCTTATCTATATTTTAACTTATTTCCTTATAGTTCCAGGTAGGGCTAAAACCTTAGGTGATCTGACAGCCAAGCCCCCAAACTGCTGCCCCCACTGCCACCTGAAATGGCCCCAAATGTGCAAAAGAGAGGACACTGGGGTCAAACTGAAACCAGCACAGGAACAGCCACAAGTTAAAGGGCGGGTGAGGGCTCCTCTCCTGGCTCTGTGCCCTGCTACTTAGCTGCAATTATGCTGGGGGCAAGTGGAGATAATAACTGGCAGGCTGTTTATAAATCATTCCAGGCTATTCAGACTGGGACAGAAAACAACAACAACAAAAACAAACCCAGCATGCCGAGCACTGGAAGGAGCAGAGGGAAAATGCTCTTGGCACCCGCAGTGCGGGAGCGCTTGGGAAGTGAGACCCTAGAGCTACCAGAATAAGGCTTGTTTTTTTTTTTTTTGCCCAGAAACGAAGTGACTGCGAGAAGCGATCCTAAGAGGCTCCTCTGCCCTGGAATTCTGGAGGCCAGTGACGTGGTGGGACAGAGGAGAGAGTCTGTAGACAATGTGAAGGCAAGGTGAGCTGGGAGCACCCGGTGGGAGGGCACGTGCCTGGCCCAAGCAGCCTTTCACTCCAGTCCCAGGCTGCCTGGTGGGAGAGGGCCAGTGGCCTAGTCTGGCCTGTGGCACAGCCGTGCTCAAACCTCCGATGAAGAGGGAAGATCTTGGCCCTGGATCCAGGAAACTGGATTCAAAGGCCGGCTCTGCCCCTAACTGTAGGGGTGACCTTGGCTAACTCACTTCTCTTGCCTAGATCTTAGGTTTCCCATCCTCAGATGAGGAAACAGAACCACAGCAGCTCTTAAGAGTCTCCCAGGTCTCAGGAGTCATGGTTTCATGAGGACAAAGCAACGGACATGCATCACTGCAGAGCCCCTGGGAAAAAAGAGACTTGATAATCCCGAGGACTGACAAGGATGCGGAAGGGCCGGGCTCTGACAGGGGCTCATGCAATTTGGAGAAGAGCCCGGAGTCTCCGGCACAGTGGACATACATGTCAGGCACTGCACCTCTGTCTGCAGGTGTCTCCCCCAGACCAGTGACCCCCAGCAGACGCTCTGAGAGGCTCCGGTGCCTTGGTGGGCTGGAGGAGTTGGGTGAGTGTGCGGATAGTGATCTGAGGCCTGCGGCCTCTGGCCGTGGGCAGCTTCATTCCGGGCTCCGGATCTTATATATGAATCCCTATACACTCGCGCAGGAGGCCATCCCACGCACGGGCTCTGGTCAGGGCAAGACTCTAGGAACTCCTGGCTCTGGCCAGTGGGGCACCCACCACCCCTTCCAACCGCAGAGTCCACGCTGACTGGAAGGAGTTAATCGGGCCACAGGAAGAATTCCTTTCTCTAAAAGCTGGCCTTCCAGAAGTTACTTCCCTCTCACACAGCCTCTCTCTGGATGGGCTGGCATGAGAAAGTAAGAGTTTGAGGTAGAGGAAGAAAGAATGCAAACAATAAAGGGGGCAGGAGAAGGGAAGGAAGGAGGGAGGGAGGGAGGAAGGGAGGGGAGGG